GCAATTGGTCATTGGAATCAGCTGCTTCCTAATTTAGATTATACCCGTGCATGGAGGGGGCATTATTTTCTTTCTTTTGTATATTCAGAGAACTAGTTGATGATGAACAAATTTATTTTACAGTAACAATTGGTATAGCACATAAGCATATAACCAGTTAGTGTAGTTTAAAAGCTGTTTCTGTTTAAAAGTATCCCGTACTTATTTGCAGAAGAGTTAACTGTCTCAAGGATCATCAGTTTCTCTCTTTTCTATATATTGGACTCCTTTTCTTTTCATTTATTTTTAACCTTCAAATGGCTCTTTAATTTGTCTTCATACTTCTCTCTCTCCCCCTTTTCTTTGTTTGTCCCCTCTTTCAACTGTCTTGCTATTTTTTGATTAAGGAAATGTCCAGGAAATCCTTTGCAGAATCCTACTGAAGCAACAGTTTATACTTATGTTATGAAGCACTTCTGTTTTTTGTGTCTAGAGGTTCCCAGTGTTTTTAATGAAACTTTATCCAAGTAAATGTGTGTTGGATTATATAGCATGAGTTCCTAGAAATGAGAAATTTGCAGTTTATTAAATTTAACTTTGAATGTTTTATCCTCAAACAAGATATAACTAATCAGTTATAAGAAATTTTATATTAATTTGGATATGAAATGTGGGTATTTTTAAGTCATTGAAATTTCAATAAGTATGTCCAGAATTGCCTCTCTGATTTTTATCTCTATGTGAATATTATGTTTTGGTTTTGTAGGTATACTTTATTCACCATACTATATCCAATGGGAGTTACTGGAGAAATGCTCACAATGTATGCTGCTCTGCCCTTTATCAAGAGATCTGGTTTATTTTCTATTAGTTTACCTAATAAATATAATTTTTCATTTGACTACTACACATTTCTGATCCTGGTTATGCTAACTTACATTCCAAGTAAGTGCAAACTCAGTTCATATTTTCTTGCCTCCTATGTATCTAAAACAATTTCAAAATATTTGTGATCTTTTGCAGTTAAGGATTTTGTCTGTTGGTATGCTAGAATCATCTTGCAAAAAACCAGGCAGGATTATTTTCAGGCCTGTCTCCCAGGAATTGAAAGTGACATATTCTGTGCTCCTTCCTCCTTCCTTGTCCCATAACAGAATCCTATGTGGAAAATACACCCTAGTCATCTAGTAAGGTTCTCTGGTTGAAAATCAACTAGTAAGCCACAACCTAGTTCTGCCATTACACCAACCTGTATGTGTATATTTACGATGACCACAGTGAACGTAAATGTACAGTTCCCCTATCTATTAAGGGGGTTTCATAGATAGTTGTTATGATGATCATATGCTAAAGCTCAGAACTGTCAGTCCAAATGGAAAATCCACACATCTGTTAATTATACAAAACTCTTCACTAAACTTCTCTTTCCTGCATTTTGTTCTGGCAACTTTCTGTATTAGCTGGGATATGCAGATTTCGCATTGGCCTCTTCCTCACAGCCCCATTTAATGTTTTTCCCTTCAATCATTGAAAAGCCAGGAAAGCATGTCATTTTCAAAACTGATCCCCCCCCACAGCATTATTTTTACCTCATGTCTCAAGGGTGAGTAAGCAACAGCTCCTGTTGCTGCTATTACAGGCAGTGCTGTCCAGCCAGAGTTTCTTATTACCCATTTCTGGATGATATCAAGAATCCCTCCCTCCCTCCCTCATGCCCATCCTGGTGTGATAGAATAAATATCAGGTTAAATAAACATTATATCAACTTATAATGTTACACAACTATAACTATTGAACTGTCTAGGGCAGGGGTAGGCAACCTCGGCTCTTTTATGACTCATGGACTTCAACTCCCAGAATTCCTGAGTCAGCATAGCTGACTCAGGAATTCTGGGAGTTGAAGTCCATGAGTCATAAAAGAGCCGAGGTTGCCTACCCCTGGTCTAGGGTAATGTTTTTGCTTTTCTCTTCTTCACCAGAAACAACAGCTTTGCAAGACTGTTCTCCCTATAGTTTTAGTTGGAGACCCCACTCCCCATCCATGCACAAGCTCCCTTGAGGGTGGCAGAGGAAAGCCACCCTCAAGGGAGCATGAGGGCG